TAAATCTTGTTTATTATTTAATAAATAAATATTTGGCAAAATAAATTCTTCATGTAGCGATAGAGTAAGGTCGTACTAATAGAAAAATACGGAATATGTTGAATTGTTTAATTACAAAAGTTAGATTTGATGATCATGAAACCATAAGGCGTGGAAATCGTAATATGAGATACCCAAGGTATTTCTAATATGAAATAACCCATACTATGTTATAGTGAAAATCGTTGTTAAAGAGTAAATGTTATTGTACTATAATAAAAAGAACAACTGGAATAAACATCGAATGCCTATTTCTGCGATGCTTGATTCCAACTACCTGAAGACGAGTTCTGGATATAATCTATCGCATGCTCATTTTTCACGCACGCTGGCTGTGTTTGTTTGCATTTTAGAAACATGAAATAAAATTTTTTAATTGCAATACTGATATATTTTGCGTTTTACTATCGATTTCTCGGGGCATCTCATATTAGAAGCACAATTTTTTGATTTCGTGATTTGCTCATTTTTTACATTTGTTTAATTAAAAAAAAATGGAATTTGAATTAAATTTTATATAACGTTATCTTAAAGCTTATTAAATTCCCTTCAAAATGACCTATTATTTTTTTAAGTTCTGCCCATAGACTTCTAGCATTTATCCAAAATAAATTCGGTATCTCATAATAGGGGCCTTTCCTCTATATAAATTCATAGAAATTATTTAAAAGCATCCAAGATTCTAGCTCCGATCGTAATAGACATTAAAACTTTTACTTATTGTGAATGTATTTTGATGGATGTTTGTCGAAAGCGCAGAGATCAAACAAATCGGTGAAATCAGTAATATGAATATTAAGTTTAATGAAATTGGACGGGATAGCTCGAAGGACCAGAGATCGAAGCCTGAATTTCACTCCGATTTCGAAGGGTGCGAATGTCGCTGAATAGAGACACTTGGAAGGGGGAAGAAAAGGAGTACAAGAGAGGAAGAGCGTAGGCGCTTGTATTCGTCTCGCATGAGACGATAAGGATCGTTGGAGAGCGGGGAGAGAGAGATCGAGACCGAATAATTGAAAACTGTCTGCGTTCACGAGTGTCACAACATTAAACGTTTATTGCACAGAAATCAGCAATAGTCCATATAAGCTCAAGCTTGAACAGTTTGATCGAAACTCAGCGGTATGGCCTGATGGCGAGAGATCGGCACCCAATAGCCAATAACATGGCGCGCACGAACTTTTTCGAACGAGAGTTCTATGACGAAGCGCTCAATTAACTCACGCTCCGGCTTTCCCTTCACTCGCGATTCAACGTGCCGAAAGAATAGTCAGCGAACCAACGCACTAGGACAGCCGGACGCGACTTCGAGTCGAGTATGCGTCTTACTTCAGTTAATTCGCGCACACCTTCACATCTTACAAGAGAGTTTAAACGCGACTAATGTCATCATGAGTTGCGTTTAACTCTCTTACAATCAAGATCTTGTGAACAGTATCCGACTTTAAGTTTTTTACTTTGCAATCGTAATAGACAGCTGCTAACTCATTAAGATATATTATGTGTACTTGCCTCATGAATATTTTATCTACCAATAGTATTACGGATGCACGTACAACCATTTTATATAATTTGACATCAATCTACATCGTAATTTTACCGGAAACTTCTTTTATTCACACTGACTGCCCTTTCTCGCTGTTAACCGACGAATTATTTTGGTTGGATTATGACTCATCATACTATGTTTTATTTTTCGACAAATTGACTAAATATAGTATGGTTGCGTTTACACTGACTATTGAATATCGAAGTTGAGATGATTCTCTAAATATGTTAATGTAATTTTTGTTATACGGGTAATTATATTTCTGCGACTGATGAGGACTAAGTATAGTCGAAACGTATCGTTGGAAAATTATATTGTGAAAAAATAAATTTTACATTGTCACATCTAATTATAGCTCGTTTAATTGCTGACGTGGGTTACTATTCATTAATGATCATTTCTACATCTAATCATCATTTTTACAGTGGATCAAATTTGTTAAGTTAGCGACTATTTAAATTTGCATATATGTGCTAATTGATGACTTTCGTACTGTGCATAAACATTTTATGCAAAAAATAATTTAAGTAATAAAATTTTATAACATATAATTTATATTATAATTTAGTTTATAATCGATTATGATAGAGAACTTTCCTCGTAATAACAAAGTTATAACACCTAAGATCTTCTTAATAAAATTCATTTTATAATCTGTATCATATATACGAGACATATGTACGGACATATGTACGAGAGGTAGCCCTGTTTAGGCAGAGAACTGGAAGGCGTTGCACGCTATAAAACCGGGGATAGATAGACAATCTATACCATCACTTTAACTTCTGTTTTAACGAATTGTTACGGAAATCCGTCACAAATGTATCAAAACTTCGGACGCTACAAAGTTTATACACGAATAAGATATACGAGTGATTCTACCGACGCGACACAGTGATTAAGTCTACGCAGTTGTGAACAAACGCGCACAACTGTATGAATAAGCAACCCATCATATTGACCTGGCTGTTACACCTTGTACGTACAATGATGTATAAGAATGTTACGTTACGATTTTCTTTGTGTGTTCATATAAGTTTACCATTACGGACAACCCCTTAAGTTTAAGGTCAGTACTTAACATAACGTAAAGCGTTACGAATATTTTTGTGTGATAGTCCAGCAAAAGTCGATGCTGTGGATATTATGATAACAAAATATTTTCACGAAGCGATACCACAAATGATAGCAATCTAGCTCTTTATCGATATATCGATACAGTGCTAGCGGAACCATAAATAAGTAATGTCGCAACAGATGAGTGCCATCTGCAGTTTAAAATGTGAAACGGATATTTCTGAGGGCGATGCTGATGATAATCTTAATGTGACATTTTGATATTTCGAATTTTCCCATTGCGATATCTCTGTTCATAGGGTACGTAGAAAATAAAAACACTTTTATTATATACCTAATATAAACCCAAATTGTCGATTGAGATTACTCAGAAGAGGATCGATTCAACTATTTACTGAGAGATTCGATAATCTCGGGAGCTTGCATTCGCCGACTCGCGTAAAGACACGATTTCATGCTAGTTACACTTGGCATGAGACAATACCGCATCTCTTAACACATTATTTTAAATGCTTTAATTTGATGTACATATTTCCAGGGAATGGAAGTAACTCGTTACTTGTAACGAAGTTACAGTTACAAGTTACTTTTTTGGTAACTTTACTAGTAACTGCGTTACTTTTTTTCTTTGGTAACTGTAACGGTAACGAAGTTACATTTTTTTGGTAACGGTAACGAATTTTACAGTTAC